TGCCTCGCCGCCGACGTCGCCGCTCTTGCTCGCGAGCCTGGCCGCCCGCTGCAGCTGCTTGCGCTCGCAAGCCCAGCCTCTCGCACCACTGTCCAACGCCATGGCCGTAGCTCGCAGCTCGCCCCCTGCCTCACAGCAGCAGCTCGTGCTCGCGAGTCCGGCCTCTCGCACTACGGTCCAACGCCATGGCCGTAGCTCGTCTCCTGCCTCGCTGCAGCCACTCACGCTCACGCTCGCGAACCCAGCCTCCCGCATCGATGGCCCGACACCATGGCCGCAGCTCGCAGCTCGCCTCCCGCCTCGCTGCAGGTCGGCCGCGCACCGCATCGAGGAGCTCCCCCCGCACGCCATGGACGACCACAAGGTGGAAGGCGCCCTAATCCTCGCACGCGGCACGGACAACGTTGGCCGTGGTGGGGAACGAGAGGTCAACGACCGACACAGAGAGCGCAACGGCGACAGGGGAGGGCAACAGGGAAGGAGGTGCTCAGGCGGCTGGATGTACGACACCGGGATGTGGGACACGCTAGTCACAGCGAGGGCTTGGACGCGCACTGGCCCGATGGTTTCCATTGGAGCGGCATCTCGCTGCGGGCTTGGAGAAGAAAGGAAGGAAGAAGATGACGGGTGGGGCCATACGTCAGTCACATGGAGATTGAGAAAGGTAGAGGGTATTTTGGGCAATACTAGAATACAGTTAACTGCAGGTGGACCCAACGTCCTAAAAAGCGTTCAAAGTGGCGCATTTCAGGTAATGGAAGAATTATAATGACATGGTTCCGAATAGATGAATTGTAATGAGGTATCTCAAAAGTTACAAAATTGTAATGACAGCTATCAAATAACCCTTTATCCGAAGGACAGTCAGTCGGGCAACATGTCAATCAACTTGGGCTGCCACAGAATGTCATGACTACATAGGCTAACTGCAAATAACCCTTTATCCGAAGGACAGTCAGTCGGGCAACATGTCAATCAACTTGGGCTGCCACAGAATGTCATGACTACATAGGCTAACTGCACAGGCTACAGGAGCATTTCGTCGAGCAGTTGGGCTGCGAGTGGCGATAGTAGGATACAGGCAGGCGGATAGATTACCGGGGTCTTTCCGGAGATAGCGGCGTAGACGGCGCGGAGTCGCGCTCGGAGAGGGGGCCTCGGGAGAGCAGCGCCTGCAGTAGGGTGTGGTGCTAGCCATGTACGAGATGGACTTCATCGTCACCACCATCCTCTGCCACTGTAAAGAGCTCGCCAGCAGCGCGCTCCGTGGCAAGCCTCGTGGTGGTTGTGCGGCGCGACGAGCTCGCGGTCGTGGACGGCGACCGCTACCGCTGGATCCAAGGTATCGAGTGTTCGCGCGCCGCCGGTCTTCTCAACCGCGTCGTCAGCTCTGGCTCCACCATGCACATGGGCGCGGAGACGTGAGCGCGTCCTGGCCGTCGTCGCCGCTGCCGCGCGGCCCCCCGCGTGGAGACTCGTATCGGACTCGGTGGCGCGCACGCGAAGAGAGTTTGACGAAACCCCTCCGTATTTTTTTTAGGTGTAACAGATACCGACAGCTTATTCTAGCGTACTCCTCCGTCCAAAAAAAAAAGAGTGTCGTTTTTTTTCCGCAGATGTCCTATTGGTCATCTGTCTTATTCAAATTTTTTTATAAATATCATCCATTTTATTATGACTTATTTTATTATTAAAGATACTTTAATAATGATTTCTTTATTTTATAATTTATATAAAATTTTTGAATAAAACGAGCGGTCAAACACAATATCTAAAAGTAAAAAACGTCACTCTTTTTGAGATGGATGGAGTAGACACTAGCAGACGCAGGCCAAGATTCAAGAGGATGCTGACTTCCATGTGTGATTCCTCCTCCACCTTTCCTCCTTATATTTTCTACTTGCTTACTTTCTCTCCTATATTTTCTACTACTTGCTTCCTTTCTCCGCATGTTCATCTTCTTCATTGGCATGTGTTGAACCAAAGCACACGTTTAGGGCAGATTTTCTCTATTGCTTAGCCACAAACCATGGCAGGATTTTTCTGAGTACATATAGGATAGAAAGTTTGCAACTTAAGAAAGCTGCAGCATATTCTAATTACTAAAGTAGATGCTAATTAAGATAAGATAGATGATAAGGGTGTTGACACAGGCACCAAGTACTCTAGATAAACACAAGACTTAGGCCCTATTTGGTTTCCCATGACTAAAATTAAGCTATTAAAACCAATAACTAAACTTTAGCCACCATGTTTGGTTTTAGTGACTAAAAGTGGCTAAAGGACATTAAAGCAGTTCAACAAAGACTAAATCACCCCTAATGAATGCGAAAATTAAGGTGGGGTGTAGCAATAATGAGAGGCAACCCCTGTCCACTGGGCACTTTAGCCCACTTTAACACCTCCTTGAGATACTAATGTGACTAAAGTAGTTCAGACACTTTTTAGTCAGTTTGTTTAGCAGTTTAATAGCTAAAGTGTAGTTAAACTTTAGCAGGGGGAAACCAAACACGCCCTTATAAACCAAGTGTATCAACATGTAGGCTTTTAGGGTGTGTGGTGGTGTGGAGCGGCTGGCCAGGGAGGGGGGCTTGAGTCCCTTGTGGTGGTGGTGGGATTGGGGTAACACAGACACACACACATAACCGCCTTGTTCATCTGCAGCCGACATGAGATGAGGAGGCCCGACCTCTCAAAGTATTTGAGAAGGCCCAAGCCAAACCCGCGACAACGGTTGCATGGATTGAAGATGATGGTCCCGTTCGCTTGGAGGAATTTGGAGAAATCTGAAGGAATTTGTGAGAGAAAACACTATTCGAAAAAAAAAGCGAATCAAAACCGAGAGTTAAAAGACACGCGAACAGGACCGATGTGGAGGCGGCCTCCGCCCACCAGAAGTACTCGGGTGGCCTGTTTGACTTGCGACATCGGTTACAATAAAGACATCCTTCGGCCGCCAGTAGTACTTGTACGACCTGCCCTGCCTGTAATGGCGCGCGGTTACATGAGTTTTTTTTTTTTTTTGCGAGAACGTAGTTAGCACATATTTCATTAAAAAAAGAAGGATAGATTTTGTTACAGAACGGGCTGGCCGATCTGAAAGGTGGCGAGATGCCGTTGTCGAACGGCCAGTCACAGCACCACATGTGGTGCGACGAGATAGAGCAGTTCGTGATTAGACAATGAATGAGACAACACCATGGCGTAATACTTTAGTGGCAAGAAATAACGGCCTAGAAAGACATGCTACTGTACATGTGTGGAGGCAATTGTCATCAGCTACACCAAGGGTCCATCAGTGCCATCCGCGTCGGAGTTAGAGACCTTTGACAAGATCTTCAACGGCAACCTGACTGTGTCTAACGCCGAAGTGCTGGAAGCGCTCTTCCCGGGGTGAAAAGGGCTCGTCCAGAGGCAGCCGCGAAGGCGCATTGCCACCTCCTTAGTCGCACCGCTGAGTCGGTTTATGTTGTTTTTTTTATTTATGTAATATCGAAACTAGAGATCTTTTATTAGGATGGTCTAGCTATGGCTGTTTTAGGTCGATATCTTTCGGCGCTCGATAGAGACGCATTGTCTGTATGTTTAAACTCTTCTTCTTAGTACAATGATACACAAATTTTTTGCGTGTTCGAGAAAAAATAGTTAAGATCATAGTTACCATAAATCATGTTTGGTGGTTAGCGGTGTTCTATTTTGAGAAAAACAAAACTAAATTATTCGGTGTTCAGTTTTGAGAAAAACAACTCCTGTTTCCCCAAAAACCATTATTTTGAGTTTTTTGGAAATTGGTTGTCTCCGTCCTGGTTTTCATCTTGTTCTGCAGCACTGCTTCAGCAGTACTTTTTAGCGAACGAACAATATTTTTCTCTCACAATAAATCAACATAAGCCAAATTTCAGCGAAACGAGCAGGAATTTATGCTCACGTAAATAAACAATGGTTTTGGTGGTTAGCGAAAAAACTAATCTAATGGAAACTGATTTTCCTAAATCTACATATCCAAACAAAGCCTTTGCCATTTTCTTAGGAACTGCGTTGGATGCAACTAAGCTCTGCACCGGAGTGGCCAAGCTGAACGCGAAACCCGCAATTTGTAGCATGAAAAGCAGGTACTTCTCACTGACTAAGCCACTAGGCACTCTAGATGGCCATAGGGCCCGCGGCCCGTCAGCACGGCCCATGGCCCGATGTTGGCCCAGGCACCGTGAGGGCGCGCTCTCGGTCTTGCTCTGTCTTCCCCCTTCTTTTGCAATCAGCGGCTGAAAGAGCCAGAGTTGTCCCCGTCCGACGCGTGCGGAGGAGGAGCCCGAGCGGCGACACCTCGTCCCGTGCGACGCGCGCGAGGAGGAGCGGCGCCTCCGCTTCCCCGTCCGACACACTTTGCTTGATTAAAAAAATATACTCGCTCCATTCCAAATTATAAGACGTTTGATTTTTTTGGCTCTAAGTTTGATCACTCGTCTTATTTAAAAAATTTGTGTAAATATAGTTAAATTTAAGTCATTCTTAAAGAATTTTTATTAATAAACCAAACCACGACGAAATAAGTGATATTTTACACAAATTTTTAAATAAGACAAATGGTTAAACATCTTACAATTTGGAATGGACCGAGTATTATTCATTTCCCCCTTCGAGGGAGCATAAGCGCTACGTCTCTGAAAGTTGGTGGTTACACGACCTTGGTTAGCAGCATCTGCACGAATTCCTCCAGATCCCTGTGCGAGCTCCCGCCCTCCGCCACCGCGGCCGCCGCCAAGCGTCCGAGCTCCGCCGCGCGCTCCCTCACGGTCTGCCCCTCCTTCCCGACGGCCGCCGCGATCGCCGCCGCCATCCGCCCGGCCGCGGCGCGGCGTCGGCGCCCCGCCACACGGCACGGCCACAGCACGCCTCCTCCGTGGAGCAACAAGCGTCCGTGAACTGGTCGGCGCCATCGCCACGCCAAAGATGGGTTACCGGCGGCGCCGCCAAGATCGAAAGTTCCGGCCCGCAAGGCGTCAGAACCAAACCACGGCGCGGTGGCGCGAAGACCTCCACCGCGGGCGCCCACCGCGGATCACCAGTTTCGCGACGCTGCGTGGCGCCTCGAACCCGTCGGGCACCACGGTGCCCGCCCTCGCCGCCCACACGAACGCCGCCGAGCTCCGCGCCAGCGCGTCCGCCACCGACGCCGCCTGCGCCGCCGACAACGCCTGCTGCGTCCCGAAGCTGACGTACACCACGGAGCCATCCGGGAACGCGTCCAGCCATGCGGCCACCCGCGCCGCCGCCACGGCGGGCTTCCCGCCGCGGTCGCCGCCCGACGTGGACGTGGCCGCGCCGCCGGCGTCCGACAGCGGGCCCACCGCGAACACCCGCTTCGACGCCAGGTCCGGGAGCGGCCGCGTCACGTAGTCCGCCTCCAGCGCCGCGAACGTGTTGGCGACGAAGCACGCGCTGCCCAGGTTCCAGAGGAACAGCTGCCGGATCGCCTCGGACACCTCGTCGCCGGGCGCGTACTGCCGGAACAGCCCGGACAGGTGGCGCCACGGGAAGGTAGGCGAGCCGGGGACCTCCGGGAACGTGACCGCCTCGTCGTCGGCGTCGGGGTCCTCGGGGCGCCGCCGCCTCGTCGGCGGGCTGCGCCAGAGGGCGTGCGACATGGCCAGGTGGAGCGCGCAGGAGGGGGAGAAGGTGACGTGCGGCACGCCCAGCTCCTTGGCCAGCGGCTGTGTCCACCCCGTGAAGAAGTCGGAGACGACGGCCGTCACGCGGCGGCCGTGCCGTCCCTGCTCGTTGCACCAGGCGAGGAGCGGCGCGCGGAGCGCCGCGAGGGAGGCCATGAAGGGCCGGAAGAGGTGGCGCGGGAGGTCCTTGGTGTTCTCGCCGCTCCCCGGCGGGAGCAGCGGCGACGACGGGAAGGGCAGCGAGAGCACGGCCACGGACGGGAACGCGCGGACCAGCGGCGCGAGCAGCGCGGCGTTGCCGGACGTGACGGCGACGGTGACCGCGAGGCCGCGCGCGGCGAGCAGCGCCGCAAGGTCCAGGAGCGGGAGCATGTGTCCCTGCGCCGGGTACGGCACGAGAAGCACGTGCGGGCCGCCGCCATCGCTCGCAAGGTCCTGCGGTGGCGGCGTGTGCGTGCCCATGGACAACTGGACAAGGACAATGGATGGATCTGAACCGTTGGGGTTACAACTAGGGTTAATAAATACTCGACCAAGGTAATTTATTATATTGGTTAATAAAGTCTTCCGTTGCAGTTCCTCATTTTTCTATGCGCATTCTCAGTGGGCATCGGAGTAGTTAATAAGCTGCCACATACATTAAAAAATTTCAATGACGTGATAACGTTTTCAAAGGAAAGAGGGGCACAATTACCAACTCTTTATGAGTTATGAAATTAAATACAAATCAAATCATAGAATGAAACATTTCATCGAGAATGAGTGTTTCATTCATGTTTCATTTTGTTCTATATTATATGAGTTTTGAAATTAACGCCATGAAACTCCTCACTGATCAAAATAGTCAAAGATTAGTATACATCTTGAAAGTTCACATGGCATGGATGGATAAAAAAAGAATGGAAATATGTGGAATCAAATAATCTCAAGATTAACTAATTCTATATAGAAATAGTATCAGCGTTTCTATCTTTAAGTAGGTTTATTATAAAAGTTTATTCCATAATTAATCAAGTATTATATATTTCTTAGACATCATATAAATATTAATGTTTTTATATAGTATTTGATTATATTTGGGAGCGTTTTGACTCCTGAGAAAATGAGCTTTCATTACTTTTTGGAGAGGGAAAACAATATTTTCATTATTTTTAGGAGAGAATATTTTTTATAAGTGCAGATGGATGGGCTTGTCGTTGAAAAAAAAATGGAGACCCACTCGAACTCGAACTCGAATATGTTGCTTTTCAAATGACTGGAGCTTTTGTGCGGTTCAGTCAGTCAAATTTGTCCAGCTATCCGATTCATCTCCAACCCTGCTTTTCTAGTACCTGCACTTTCTTTTGACTGCTGCACAAGTTTGCAGTCAATACACCAACCATAGTAGGAACCAGGTCTGAAAAATTAAACTGGCACGTGCATGCATCGTCAACATTGTGGTACAAACAAATATGGATTCACCCGCTGTCGAAGCGTGGTTGGCGAAGAAGGGCGTGTTCGGCTGGCTTAAGCCAGCCGGCTGGCTTGTTTTTCCTCTCACAGAATCACTGTTAGAATAGTATTTTTCTTTCACAACAATTAGTCGGAACAGTATTTTTTAGTCCCGCCGAACAGGCCCGAAGACGACCTGCAACTGCAACTGCAACTAGTGCAAAACCCTGTTGGTGTGAGCGTGACTTGTCACTTGTGCGTACTACGTAGCTTTTCCAGGTTCCACGGTTAGTCCATGGATGTTGCCGCGCATCGGTCCTCCTCCGTCCCCCACCCCCACGTGAGAAAAGCAGCGACCACTGAGAGCAAGATTCTAGATGCTGATTCGCTGTTGCTCTCCAACTTGGCGCATGGCAATTTTATCTCCATTTTTTTTTTCTTCTTATACATTTTGATCAGCATATACTCCTATTGGTACTGCCTCCGTTGTATGATATGTAGCTTGTTTTAGTTTTGTTATTAATTCGTTCTAAATCAAGCTTCTTTAACTTTGATAAGAACTTGATCGAACTCATAAATTGTCAACCCTATCTTCAACAAACATGGATGCTAGCTCTCAGTTTAGTTTTGCTTTGTGCATGCTGAGTTTTTATCAGATTTCATGTTGAAAAGGTGCAAGCGCTCCTCGAATAATCCATAAAGATGCCACATGTTTGATAATGCTTTTGTTTTTGTTTTCAATGGGAAGTTGTCCCAGAAGGCCATAAGCGGAACCAAACTTAGCCAAAATCAAGGCATGCCAAAATACCAATTTATAGGGAGATTAGAAGGGAGTTTATGCTTGGAGTAGCGGTAGCGGGAGCTCAAATCCACCACGTCCGGTGCTAGATCCGACCCCTGGTTGCGCGTGATCTGCTGCTCCGGCCCTCGCTCTTGTGTTTTTCCATCGGTTTCCATACATTATTATTTCCCGTTATTAGGTACCATCCGTTCCAAATTATAATTCATTTGACTTTTTTTGACCCCAAGTTTGACCGCTCGTCTTATTCAAAAAAAATTATGCAAACATAGTCAAATTTAAGTCATTCTTGAAGAACTTTAATTAATAAAGCAAGCCACAACAAAAAAAAGTAATATTTAGCATAAATTTTTGAATAAAACGAGTGGTTAAACTTAAAGTAAAAAAAAAAGTCAAACGGGTTGTAATTTGGAATGGATTTAGTACGTACTCACGTTACGTCGTGAACAACGTGTGTGCTTTTGGAATTGTCATATATGCATATGCAGGAATGCATGTGATGTAGTCTCGTCTCGTGAGCAATCGTGGAGATGTCACGCGATCGATGGATTGGCCGCGTTCCCACGTCAGCTCCTGCGTGCTCCGTCTCCCTCTGGTAGGCCAACAACATGCGTGGTCGTCGTAGATACAACACACTTGCCGTTGCCGGCGACGCCACCAGGCAGCGGACTGGGCCATGAGGGCCGGGGTCCAAAACTTTGATGAATCACGGGCTATGAGAAGAGCCGAATTAGCTGGGCCTCAGGATGTTGAGAGAGAGTCCGCTCGCGAGACAGACACGACGGCATGGATTGGACGTACGGAATCGTTTCAGGCCCAATCTTTTTTGCCGGGGAAGCGAAGGGAAGCATAGGCCCTCGGCCTTTTGGGAGACGCGGCTGGGCCTGGAGGATACAATACAACTCCTACTATGGGTGGGCCAATGATACAGCCGTGTCCTGCTGGATTGGATTAGCAAGCGGAGACGGAGCACTGGACTGGACACTAGCTACCTTTAATGTCCTACAGGAGCAGTCGCTCCGTCCAAGAGAACAGTTCCGAGGACTCAAATAATTTAAAGTTTAACTAAAGTTATATTTTTTCTCAAAATAAAAATGTACTCACACTTATTAGACAAAATAAATATTATTAAATTAATTATAAATATATTTTCGTAGCAAATCTAGTCGCAGAAATAATTCTTTATTATTACTGAACTTGTCAAAACTAACCTAGTTTGAGTGACACAAATTCATAGTTATATCTTTTTTTTTTGGGACTGAGGGAGTATTCTGCAGTCCACAGTTTTGCAAATAAATAAATCTGCAATGGCGACACGGCGTTGCTAGCTCATTGTCAGACGAGCACGTGATCGAGCACGTAAGTCTGCACTATGCCGGGCCAAGCAGGGAATTCGAATCGCACCGCAGTCGTCGGGTCGAAGAAGACACCCACGGGCCCGCGCATGGTGTGCTTTGAGCGTGGCAGAGCACCACCACCGTTCTCCACACACCTCCCTGCACCGCAGCCCGCCACCCTGCACCGACACCTGTGTCCCCTCTCACCTCCTCGCATGTACCGCTACCCGTTTCCTCCCACCTGAAGGACCGGAAACGGCGATCAGAGGGGGGTGAATGGAAGCCTCAAATTTCTTCCGAAATCTTCAACCACTGTCCCAACATCAATCCCCAAAAAGCATTTACGAAAGACTTGATGACCACGACCCTAAAGAAGGGTGGATACTCCCTCAGAACACAACGGGTCACCACAGAGCAAACGGAACAAAGATCGAAGCCCAAACGAGCAAACTCCCAAAAGAAAACAGCACTGCTCCTGCAAATATCGGACACGTCCGGTATTATATCGGACACGTCCGGTATTTTCGGACACGTCCGGTATGATCTCGGACACGTCCGGTATTTTCAAAGAAAAGTCGACCAAAAGAGAAAAATCAAAACCACATCAAATGGTGTCAAAAATCATGAAATTTTAACCATAGCTCTTTAGACACCAAGGAAGGTCTCCACCAAATTTCAGCTCAAAACTCCAAAGTGAGAAATATCGGACACGTCGTGTATCATATCGGACACGTCCGGTATGAACGAGCAGCGCTCGAGAAAAATCAAATCAAGCCATAACTTGATCAAATCAACTCCAAATGACTTGAAACTTTGCACAAGGGTTCACAAGCGAGTAGAAAGGCAACCTCTAAAGGATCATGGCCCGAAACAAACTCTAACTCCGTGAATCGAAGGAATTGAAGAATCCCCAAAGAAATAGGTCAAGAACTTAAATTGCTCGGATCTGCGATCTCGTGAGGAATTAGTGGATTTCCTTCGGTGGAAAGCTTCTACTCATGTCATTGATCGATCCAAGGCAACAAGAACGAACCAAAACCATCCCACAACGAAGAAACGAGAGGGAAAATAAGAAGGGACAAAAGGAGCTCGTGAAGAACACCAAAATCACATCAAGAACACAACTAAATCATGAATCCCGGAGGACATACGGTGGTTACGGCCACCGATTCCTTGAAAACCAAGTCACAATTTGAGTTGTGGACCTCTCTCATACATGGAAGCAAACTAGAGGAAGAAACCCTAAAGGAGAAAATGAAAACTGGAGAAGGTAAGGAAGATGGGGGCTCCCTCATCCTATATAACAGGGCTATTACACATTCCCGGTTTGCCTCGGATACAAATGAGTTGAACCGCTAAGCCCAAAGGCGTTGTTGTCCAACCCGTGTAATCTTGATCCGACGGCCACCGCGCGCTTCTCATCGGTGTAACCGCCGACGCGAACTCCCCGATGCCGCCACGCGTCGTCCGTCCCCTCTCGGAACCTCCTTTGGGTTTTGAGGCCCAAACCCAGAATCAATCCATCCGATGGTTTTGAGGTCCAAACCATCAAACCGTCATGAGTAGCTGCACTCCATACGCATCCCCGCCATCCGACGCGTGTCACCGCTGCCCTCGACCGGCCGGCCCGCCAAGTCCTCCCGAGCCTCGCTCGACCACGCGTCCGCCGTCTTGACCCGGCCAACACCGTCACCCCATGTCTTCTTGCACTTGTTGATGTCCCAAGTGTCACCACCATGGCTAGTCACCCGCCTCCGGGTCCCTCGGTCCAAGCCTCACGTCCGTCCTTCACGCTCCCGGTCCGTCCGGCAAGCAGAACACGTCCTCCTTGACCTTCACCTCGCCACGACGACCACCGTGATCCGAGAGCTCCACACTGCACAACACAAGCCAAA